GAATAGGGGTTTTGTTTCTGATTTTTTTTTTAATTGTGTTTCTTTTTGTTATTTTGTAGGGGTTCAGGAATAGATGGGGGTGTCAGTGATGTGAGTGTCACTCTTTTGATGGAAGGCTTTTTCAAAGGTATCATCCTAGGAACTTGGAATAAGTTCTTTCATTAAGTGTTCATGAATAATGTATGCGTGTTGTGAATCTTGACTGGAAAAGTGACATGGGTAAAACAAAGGAATTCGCAGACTCATCTTTATTTCCAGGATCAAAGTGACTGGGGCAGCAGCTTCACAACCTTAAAAAAAGGGAAGGCGGCTTTAAAAATTGTATGAATAAGAGACACCTAAATTAAATTATTGTCATGTGCCAAATGCTCCTTATTACCGATTTTGTGACAGAGAGGGGAGACCAAGGACCATATTGGTTTCAGTGAAGAGTTCTACTTAAAAACTAATGGCACAATAGGGCCCAAAATGTTATTAGCGATAACTAATATTTAGTAATTTACTGAACATTACCCATGATCTAAATCTTATCTTGAAAATTATAGCTGATCATTTATTTTAATTACTTCAAGAAAATTGTAGACATAAATGGTAATTTTCTAATTATGATAAAGCTGAATAAAAAATATCTGCCAGGCTTATGAGCCTTGAGACAAGGCCCAACATTAAGCATTTTATGGTGTTTGATTTTGATCTGCGGCTTTTATTTTCCAAGCCTTGACTTTGAAGACTTTGTTCAAAAACTACCACCTTCTAACACACACAATAACCCTGCCAGAGGCCTGACAACACCTCATAAAAACAACCTTATGCTCACAAAAGAAATGAATTTCAAAGAGGATCCAGAACCAAAATATGTGAGTGTCAAGCAACCAATGAGGAACTGGCTTCGTCTCCTATTCAGAGCTCTGGTAGTGAATGGCTAACGTTTTCTAATCGCCCAGCTCGTTTAATTGGAACACTGATAATGAAGGCCCCAGGAGAATCTCTGGCAGAAGGAATTCCAGACAGCCTGAAGACAAAGTTTAAAATATACACTATTTCTAATAACAGAAAATCATGTTGGACCAAACTACCATCTCTTACCAAAGTAGTGGGTCAAATCCTACAGTTCTTACAAATGCAAAACTCCAGCTGAAGTCACTAGGCGTTTTGGATGAATAAGGACTGTAGGATTGAATCCACAGGGGAAAATAGGATCAAAACCCCCATAGTGAATCTATTGTGTGGGTGAGTTGGGATTTTTTATAAAAATAAAAATACCAAATGTTGATGATTGTGTTTCTATTCCTTCCAATGTCGATATTCTACAGTTTAGTAAAAAACAAACAAACAAAAAACAACGATTTACAGCCCAGCAGGCAAGGATCTAAAAATTAATTTAGAAGTGATGGATTTTCTTAATTTCAGTGTTATGCTTTTGCTGCTTGGAAAGAGTAGAGTAAATCCACCCATGTAAGAAGAGCGTGGCCTCTTTTCCCCCTGAAGAATGCAGAACAACAGGGTACCTAAGGTGCTGCTTCCATTTTGACAGTAGCAGGCCCAGCCTTATTTCCCATTTTGAACTTGACTCTGCAAGGTGCTGCGGAGCACTTTGGCTTAAAGTGCCTCTGAAGAGTTCTAGTGATAATGGCGGTAGGTATTCTGCCTCCCTAGTGCCGGGACAGGCACGTACCTTCAGTGTCAATGTCAGGGGAAGGACAGGATAAGCACACACCAGCAGCCCTTGCTATGCTTTTAGACAAGATACGGCTTTCACTTCCTCCCAGAAGAGGCCTCTTGACATTGCCAGCGACTCGGAAGCACAGCCAAGGCCACTGACCAATCCGGACAGCACCTCTCCCTCTTGTGCTCAAGACCTGCTGGCCTAAAGCATTGTGGCTCTTTTGTGCAAGAACAATAAGAAGAAACTTCTATGCAGAAAGGAGGGAAGGACAAGCTTCTCTCTCACTTACTCTACTAGTGTACCAGTACTGGAGCACCCATAAATAAGTCTTAAATCAGTAAAAAAAAATGAGTGGAGGGGGAGGATCCTGTAATACAATGGTCTGTTGCACAATACGAACATGAACCTTGAAGAAAAGGAAAATATGGCTATCATGAAGGTGACTTAAGGTTATTCTTTCTGGAACAGGACACATCAACGACCATTCCCATCATTCTACTAGTTAGTGTGATGCTAAAAATCTCATTAACTGCAGAAAAAATACCTGATGGGCCTGTAGGAATCCATTTCTACCCCTAGCTATGGTGCTGTATATGTACTCATTAATAGGTGCAGAAAGGGTATGCACACATGTGCATCAAGGATGGAATGTTACAGTCCTCTTGCTTCAAATCATTAGTAACTTGGCAGAAATGGGCTGGAGTCTGAGTGGATTATTCCATAGCATAAGTTTTGCATCTCCCTCCTTCTGTGCACCAAGAGAGAAACAGAAAAACTCCTGTTCACATAAAAGGAGCAGAATAGTCACCTTAGTGACCCCAACTCCTACTGTTCAGAGATTTTTCAAAATATAATGCTCTGACAATGCTTTAGTAAATTATCTATATTTATAACACAAAGGCCTTGCTCCCATTCAAGGCAATGGCAAAACTCCACACGGCTCAGTACATGTGGGATTGGGTCCATACTTTTTTTTTTTTAACTCATAAACTTTGAATAGGAATACAAAATGGCAGAATAATTGGGGTGATACTTTTGAAAGTTGTATCTTTATTGTTTTATGCCTCATCTGTTATTGCTGTTGCAACACTAACTTTTTAAAAATATGAATTTGAATACATATCCTGCACCCAGTGAAGTCCATGGGAGTTTTGCTCTTGACTTCAATAAGATCAGGAGTGATCCCAACCAAGTCCAAAACTCCCACTGACATTAGAGGGTGCAGGAGCCAGCACTATTTCTGATTTTTTTTAAACATAACTTTGTCAATCATTTTCCATTTACTGGGCATGTCTAGAAAACATAACTAACTTTTGGGTGTACATTTCCCTAAGCAGCTTTGGGAAATATCAGTCTTAATGTCTGTGATATCGGCTAAATAGGTTGTATGAATTCTGTTCTATATAGGTTCTTATACTGTGCTCATCCCTATGGTTTCTGAGCACCTTTGAGTAGTGCATTAAACATCATGAAGAAAATCTATCCAATGTTGTTTGCTCTTTCTCCACAGTGGGAGAAGTGGCTGTGGTGGAGTGTCTAGCTTTGGGAAGTGTTTTGTTTTTGTATGTATGTTAGAGCAGGCAAGGTCAAAGAAATGTGTTTAGCACTTGGAGCGGGTCGTAGTGAACTTTTTGTGATGGTCCTTAGTTCCTGGGGGAGTTCATTCCACAGTCTGGATCCAGCCCCCAAGAATGCTCTGTCTCCCGCACAGACAAGCTTTACTTTTATTGTCGAGAGTTCCATTGTGCAAGAGGAGCAAAGCTGTCAACCACGGTCTTCATCATGAGCTAATTCTCTCATTTATCCTACTTTTCTTTGAAAAATGCCGTTAAACGATATGTCAAACTACTTTACATCTGTACACATAATGTAAATTTTAGTTATGGGACCATGTTGACATTTTTCACATTTTGAAAGAAAGAAGAAAACTTTCATGAATTTCCCCCATTTTTCAACAATTATAGAGCTAGCTGGAATTTTTAGAATTTCAAAATTTAGAGGAAAATAATAATAGTAATAATTAATTAAAAAAGTTGTGAATCCCCCCCACCTTTTCTTTTTCCTAACAAACTCCAGGAATTACCTTATAAGCAAAGATCAGAAGAGAAATACAAATGTGCACCCATGGACATATCAAAAGATAAAAAATATAATGTTCTGTGTCAAATTTTTAATTAATTTATTCATTCATTTTTGGTTATTGGGAAGAATATTCTGTAGGGCTGGGTGAACTGGTTGTGGTTTGCTTTTTCTGAAACACCAAGGCCTGGATCCACAAAGAGACACAGATATAGTGCTTAATTTGTCAAGGAAGAGGTGCTGGAGAACAAGAAATTGTTTGTACTTGCATAACTGACACAGCAAGCCCAGAGGTGCCGGGGCTATGAACTGCCAAACCTGGAGAGGCCGGGGCTCAGCCCTGGCACAAATTAAGCACTGCTTAGATGCCTAAATCCTAGTTTTAGGCTCCACTGCAAACCACAAAACTCCTCCCCAAACTCTGCAGGCATCTAAACTCATTCCAATCCCCTGATCTGAAGAGGGGTCTCCCACCTCTCTCCAGAGAGTGCGCTAACCACCTAGCTATAGGATATTTGGATTTGGGGCTCCCTTAGTTTCTCCTGTTGAAGCTGTTCCACTGTGGCTAAATAGAGTCATTAGAGCAGGGGGACTGGACCCTGAGTCTCCCTCCTCCCGGGTGGGTGCCCTAACAAGCAGGATCCAGGAGCCCCAGTCACCTGGGGCTGACAGCCAGAGCTCTTTAAAAGAAAAAAACCTCCCTTGACTGGCCCGCCCCATAGTTTGAGAACCTCTGGATTAGATAATCTGGTGGTCCCCTCTAGCATTGAACTTTATGGCTCAGCTGAAATCCTTTCATCTCCTCCGGCAGAAGGGGGAACTGAACCTAGTGGTGGGCCCATATTTTTAGGCTTAATGCTGCCTAGGTTTAAGCATTGGTTTAGGGGTTTGCAGAACCGAGCCCTGAGTCAGGCTGGAAGGGAACAGGGAAGTGCTGTGGAGGAAGAAAGACATATGCAACCCGCGCCGCTCTCTCAGCATTTACCTGAACTCTCTCTCACAAATAAATCCTATCCTCTCGTCAGTGTGGAGCAACCTCCTTGGCTCCCACCAAGGAGCGGTGCGCCGGGGCAGTGGGGGCCATGCGCCACCATCCCACCTCGCTTTTGGGGGCTGTCCCCTGGCAAGGGGCGTGGCGCTGTGCCCTGCTCCACCCGGGAGAGACGCTTAACTCCCCGCACCGGGAGGGGAGAGGGGGCAGACGGCGGCGGTTTTCCCCCAGAGCTGTGCGGTGCCCGGGCTCCTCTCTGCGGGCATGGAGCCGGGCAGCTCCCCGCTGCTGCCCCAGGGGCTGGCCACCCTTCCACCCCCAGCTCCGGCGCTGCCCGTGCCCCCCGCCTTCCTCCGCCCGCCCAGCCTCTTCTTGCGGGTAGCCGCCGCCGCCGCCACTGGCGGCTCCAGCCCCTGCTGCCCGGAGCGCGGCGCCTGCTCGCCGCGGACCCCGAAGTGCGCCCGCTGCCGCAACCACGGCGTGGTGTCCGCGCTCAAGGGCCACAAGCGCTTCTGTCGCTGGCGGGACTGTGCCTGCGCCAAATGCGCGCTGATCGCCGAGCGCCAGCGGGTCATGGCCGCGCAGGTGGCGCTGCGCCGGCAGCAGGCGCAGGAGGAGAGCGAGGCCGCGCAGAGGGGGCTCCAGCACCTCCTCCAGCAGCGCCCGCCCGCCGCCCGTGGGGAGGCGGCGCTGAGCCCGGCGGCCGCGGGCCGCGGAGCTGCCGGGCGGGCGCCGGCGCGCGGGGGCGCGAGCGCGGAGCTCCAGCCGGGGAGAAGAGGTGTGCGAGCGGAGCCGGGCGGGGCGGGGAGTGCGTGGGGCAGGGAACGGACCCGCAGCCGCGCCGAAATCCCGGCCCCTCTGCGGCAGATACTGACTTCAGTGTGGCCACGATTTCCCCTCCCCGGTGCGAGCTGTGTGCGCCCTGGGGAGGCTGATCACAGGCCGTGCGGACAGACGGCGGCGCCTGTGGATACGGGGAACTCCCCTGATGCTATACACGCGCTAGGGGCCAGAGACCCAAAGGAGCTCTGCTCCTCTGTAGGCTCCCAAACCAGAACCTTATTATCCGTGCTCAGCACCCAGCGGGTCCTATCCTGACGCCTACTGCCAGGTTTTCAAAAGAGCCTCATGCACTGAGCTCTTCTAAAAATCTAGCCAAGGTTGCATGTTGTACCAGTACTGTATATGTACACATGTATTGCATATTTATGCGCATATAGGCAGTGTATTGCATATTGTGCATGAATGATATGCATGGCGTATAAACACATTTATGTTTTTTTTATTAAATATGCACTTTCCTGTTATCTATTCCATATGTAATATATTGCATTTGGGCAGGTTTGTGTATGTATATACATATGCACACACACATATGATATAACAAAATGCAATATGTTGTGCAGTAAAATAGGAAATTTCATGTTTAATGTAATATGCAGTGTATTGATAAGCTTTAGATTATATCAGTGATATATGGCCTCAGTTTTGTCAACATTTAAGCATGTGTTTTAAGTTTAAGCACTCGTAGTTCCACTGACTTCAGTAGGATAATTCAAATAAGTAAAGTGCTTAAGTGTTTGCGAGATCAGGGTCTTTATTTTTGCATGTATATATAAATGCTAAATGTGCAATGTTATGTTATTATGCAGGATACTGTGTACATATGCAACTGTTGCATAGGTAGTATAGTAAGAAATACGTTATCTGTATAATATATAATGCAGCTTTTACAAATAAAATAACAGATGATCAGTTTAAAAAAACATTTGAGATGCAAGAAGCCATTTTGTAAGTTTAGGAGTATTGTGTTTATGAAGTTGGTATCTTGATGCCACAAAGAAGTGGATACCTTTTCTTAAAACAAAAACAAAGCAAACTATGACTCCTGCTGATTTTCTTACATTTTTGTTAAAATTTATCTCGCAAATTCATACTTAAGGATGAAGTCCATTTAAACTACACTGGACTATAGAGACTAAGGGTGGCGGCATCAGGTCCTTAATCCTTGCTTTTGGCAATAGTTTTGATATACAACAAAGTTAACTGAAAGACTCGCATACACATTTGGGTATTTGATACGTCAAAGAAAGTAACATGACCTAAGGAATCTTCTTAAATCTAGAAATGCTAACATTAATTGAGCTATACTTTATATTTTGACAAATCTTGAATATAGCTATTCCAAATGTGCTTCAGTGTGTTAAGGATCATGCATGTATGGGAGATCATTCAGTGGTCTCTGATCCTGCAAAGGCTTAAGCATCACCGAAATCAGTGGCAAAACTCTTGTTTACTTTAGTGGGTGCAAAATCAGCCCTTATGGGACTACATATGCTTATAAGCCTTTGCAGGATTGGAGCCTTAGTTTTTAAACACTGAAAGTCTATGTGGGATGGTTGCTAAGAAGATTGTGCAAATATGAGAATTTTTTCAATATTTACATGTTCCTGGGGCTTCTGATTTTAGGTTTTAATTGATGATAAACCAGTTTTTATCCAATAAACACTGGAAATGGTTACTTGTATTTAACAACTTGTCTACACAGCACAGTAATGCGGACTAGAGTGGGTGTGATTTCTAAAATGTACTAACATGTTTAGCCTTAATTGGTCCATGTAGATCTTGCTGTAGTACACTAGAGGTTCCCTAGTACACTTTAATGTCATGCTGTTTGAAACAGTAAGATGTTAAAGGAATATGACAGAGATTACTCATTACAGTATATACAAAGAGAGAGCCTTGGGGGAAAAACCTCGATTTTTGAATATATAAAGTGCAAAAATTGCTAAAAATAACCCTTGGAAAATTTAAATTAATAAAATACCAAAACCAGAAGCCCCACATTTATGCTACAATGAAATTATGTGGGTTTTCCTCTAATTAACCATGAAAGCCTTAATTCTGTAATTTGTGTGCACAGGTAGAACCTTGTGCCCATGGAAAGCCCCAGTGAAATCAGTGTGACTATGCAGGCACAAATGTTTACCTGCATGGGAGCAATAGAAGGATAGGGGCCTAAATTTTTGTTCTGGGCATGTCCAATATTTATTTTATTGCCTCCCCAAAAAGTATTGACATGATGTGAGTACTATGCTGAACAATTTGGGAAGTCTTGCATCATTATTCATTTTAATTTCAGCTGCCTCCTCTGTCTGTATCTCAGCTAAAAATAATAAAATCTGGATCTTTCCCTTTAGATGAAAGAATGTTACTCAGTGAGCCTCACCCATTGTTCAGTTTTTTTTTTAAATGAATCATTTTTCTTCTTCATGAGCATAAAAAGTAACTAAAGAGTAGGGAGGACTAAGCTGATTTTCTGCTTCCTCTCCTCAGTCTCCCCCAAGTCAAAATCAACTGGAGGGAATTTCCTCAATTTTCCACACAAAATGGCACTGAGCATTCTAATGAAAGTCTGAATTTAGGAAGTAATTCTGTTGATGAAGAACAAGAAGGAAGAGAATCCTGCCTGTTCTCTTAGCCCTGCAGAGCCAATATGGCTATTTCATCACTTAAGTGAGCTGATATAACTAAATAAACAGGGGGAGTCTGATGTCGTCTTATTGTTTACCAGCACAGCTCCATTGAAATGAATGAGAATCTGGGCAAGGATCCATTGTGTACAAAGGTGCCATTTTTTATTTAGTCATTTTTCAGATTTCAATCTTAATTACACTGTTCATTGCTTTGAACACCAAGGGATAAAATCATGGCTCAATTGGAGTCCTTGCCAATTTTACTGTTTACTTCAATGGGACTCGAATTTCACCCTATATCTTTTCTTGGGAAGTGTAATGTGTACTGTGTGGAAATTTTGGTAGCTATTTATAAGGCTTTTGAAGGCTAGTGGGGGAGTTTTAGACTAAATTAATATATTTTTTTTATTTCCCAGAAGGGCAGGTGCAGAAGTATGACTCATACTTCAGGGTGTTGGAAGGTCCTGTAGTCCTATCACATCCTCCTCCTCTGATATCTTCGCCTGAGTCAGCAGAAGCTAGTGGAAGCTATAGAGTGAAGTCGTCTGGCCTGGAAATCTCAGAAAAGGAAGAGACTGTTCAGTGTCCTAATCTGGAGCAGCAGTTGGAAGGTGTCGAAAGTTCAGGGTCCCTTTCTTCTTCAGACATGGAATCAGGAAATGAAAGTGAATGGTCCAAGGATTTTGCTGCCCCCAGTTCCAGTCCGCCTGCTGCTGCTTCAAGACAAAGAGACCCACTTGGCATTCTCACCAAAGTCTTTCCTAGTCATAAACGAAGCAAGCTGGAGAGTATCCTGCAGTTCTGCAAAGGAGATGTGGTCCAAGCCATAGAACAGATCTTGAATAGGAAAGAGAATAAACAAAATGTCAAAGACTTTGCAAACTCATCTAGATCTGAATTTAGTGCCTTACAGAGAGCCTCTAATTTTAGCCTCACAGGATTAGGTGTTGGAGCATTTGGCAATACATCCGCTTTCTCCCCTCTTCAAACCAGTTCTACATCATTTGGAAATGCAACAAATCTTTATGGCCTAAATCCTAGACTGGGGATTAGCCCTCTAAAACTGGCTTATTCCACCCCTGGAAGAGGGCTGCCTGGATTTATGTCACCCTATTTAACGCCTGGACTGGTTCCAGCTTTGTCTTTTCACCCAGCAATGGACTACTCCTTTTCAGGAGTGATCAAGGATGCTTCTTACTTTCCGAGTAAAGAGTCAGTCACTAGCAGTGGAATTTTCTCAAGGCTAAATCAAGAAAACCAGTAGTGCCTTTAGCATACTCCCTTTCTCAATGCACTTCCAAAATATGCAGCTGTGATGACATCTGGACTAGTATGTCAAACCTCAAAGGATGCTTTAATCCCACACTCCACAGAATATTATATTAGAGGTGGCAGAACAGTTCCTTTTTAAAAGAACACGAGGCTTTGTACACCTTTTGAATGTTTTTTTTTAATTTTAATGTAGAATGGCTTGCAAAACTGAAATTTTTAAGCAAAAATACATAATTTAAAATATTTTCATTTTTCCATCCAGAATATCTGCTGTGAAGAGCTGGTTTAAAAATTAGCACTGATTTTAAAACTGAGTTTTTTATTATACGTATATTTTGTTTGTATACTGTCTTCAAATTGTTTTGTATATGAAACAATAACTAGGATCTATTTGTCTGTGAACAGAAATAGTTGGATTATAAGGAACGTCCATTATAACGTTCCTCTCCCTTTTAAAAAATGTTTCATCAACTTTTTGTACTTAGTCTCCAAAGTCAATGATGCAAACAAAAATAAGACCTTGCATCTGAAGAAGTGAGGTTCTTACCCACGAAAGCTTATGCTCCCAATACTTTTGTTAGTCTTAAAGGTGCCACAGGACCCTCTGTTGCTTTTTACAGATTCAGACTAACACGGCTACCCCTCTGTTACTTGAAAAATAAGACCGACTTTCAAAAATGAGTCCTTAATGTTAAGTTGATAAATCCATAGTTAGGCATTGAAATAAGCAGCCTGATTTTCAAAAGATCTTACTGAAGTAAATAGGGGCTGCTGGGTGCTCAACACTTTTGAAAATCAGGCTCTTCATTTAGGTGTCAAAGGCCCTGATCCTGCAAAAATGTATGCACAAACTTAATTTTGCATACTGAGAATAGCCCCATTTAAGTTACAGTGCTTGATTCTAAACTGATAAATCAGCATAGCTCAGCTGAAGTCAATAGAACTCTGCTAATTTAAGTCAGCTGAGGATCTGGCCCATAAAGTTAAGGACGTGTGAACATTTTTGCAGGATCAGGGCCTAAATGTGGATGGAGGAGCCTGATTTTAGGCACTCATTTTTAATAGCGTTGGTCCAAATGAAAAAACTGTACTTCAACGTGGGGATTTGAATTTCTGAAGCTCAGTCCTTTGAATTACACTTAATAGAACCCATACTTTGGGTTGTATTTTGGATTTTTTTTATTTTATTTTTTGTATTGTGGATTTTTTCATTCATAAAATTCTTCTCAAATGATGACAGCAAATACAATTTCTTTATACCTTTATTTTTATTGTGAGTTTTGTAGACCTTGTATTGTGAATCTTGGAGCTAAACAATGAACAGAGTCAAAGCAAATGAGCACCATCTTCTGGCCATTCTAGTTCATTGCAATTTGATGGTGGTTTGAAAAGAAAATTAGCATTTTGGTTCATAAGGAATTATTTTTTTAAATCTGCAAAGGTGAGAGATGTTTCTCTTACATATGCTGGTATTTTAAATTTTCCTTTACTGGTTACAGTATGAATTTTGGGGAGTTGCTGTTTAAATAATAGGAAATCTTTGTATATTACAAAGATCCTGGTTACAAGTGAGACACAGAATCAAAACTTCTCTCTACTTGTGTGTAAAGTCCTATTGATTTCAGTGGGATTCTTCTTTTGTATAAGGCCACCAGGATTGGGTCTCCCCAAAATGTTTGAAACATTTGTTAAATTACTTCTCAGGCACAATGCAGACTTTTGCATATATGTGTGCTTAATTTTGCATATTTGAGCAGTCCTGCAACATGAATGTATATGTGGCTAAAGTCAAAGTTATCGCAGAATAAGAGCTCTAGGACTGCAGAACTAGAAAGGGAATTTCTCTTAGTTGCATGTAGCAACTAAAATAGAGACATGCTTTTGAGGAAGTATTTGATACTGATTTTGTTGCTTGCTATCTAGAAAACATAACAAAAGTTTGACTTTGGGCCTGATCATGCTCCCACTGAAGTCAGTCTCTTTTGCTGTTTATCTGGTAGAACTAAAGTTTATTTCAATCAAACATCAGGGATTTTTCTAGGTGCTTATAGGACATGGGCAGGGTTAGGCATAAGCAAAGAGTAAACTATTATGAAGGCTAATTTATATGGAGAACTGGCTTGTTAAATTATATGTTCTGAATGATTATATTTTATCAAAGTATGCAACAGTTTTATCACTTACAATTGATGGTATTAGCATCAATGGAAATTAGCAAGCTTTCAATATTAACTAACTTTGACATTTCAGTAGATGTCCCTGCTTCATTTGATTTCATTGAGGCCCTAAGTCAGGAAAGCATGGCTGTTCAGACATTTAAGCGTGTGCTTTAGCAGGGATGGATTTAAGTATGTGCTTAAGTACATTCCTCAACTGAGGCCAAAATGCCAAAATCAGTGCATGTCTAAACAGTGGGGCAATGGTCACTACTGGGTTGTGATTTCTAAAGCACATCAGTGTGAGACACATTAATTGGTCCATGTAGACCCTGCTGATGCACACTAAGAGTTCCATAGTGTGCTTATAACATTTTTCTATTTTAAACAGCGCTCAATTAAAGTACACTAGAGAACTTTTAGTGTGCACCAGCAGGGTCTACACAGACCAGTTAATGCGTAATGTGCTAGTGCACTGTAGAAATCACACCTTTGTAGTCTGCATTGCTGCACCATATAGACAAGCCATCAGCTTGCCAAATGATATTGTTCTTACTGGTTATTGTTTTTATGTTGCTCTTATTTCAGTAGACGTAATTAAGAAAATGCCTTACTTGCGAACTAAGGATCCTAGCCATTCGCACCATAATATTAAAGTTTATAGGCTTATTTCAAAAGCCCTGCTCTTTGTCAGAATTTGTACTTTTATAGCTATCTTAATGCACTTCCTCTTTGTAAGAGTTGGAGTGAATAGCCCTGGCCCTTCGTGAAGCTGTTTCTTTCAACTGCATTATGGTTTTTACTCTCATTTTCTCCAGCACACTAGGTTACACTCCAAGCACATATTATCACTTGTTAAATCTATCCCAGTGGTACATCTCAAGCAAGATGGAGATTCCTGTGAGAGAACAGGTTCTGTGAAATGCCAACCTAAGAACCCTGCTTCATAGCACACAGTGGACTTGATCCTGAAGTCCTGAGTGAGGATTTAAGTATAATGTACTCCTGTTCACTGTTTTGCCCTGGGCTTAACCAAGGACTTAAGTATGTATTTAAGTCCCATAGATTTCAATGAAACTAAAGCATACTCATAAAATTAAGCATCAGTGCATTGCTAAATAGCCACGGAGTTATGCACTGGGTGAAATTTAAGTATGAACTTTGCTGAACTGAGTCATTAGCCTTGGTTTCCTCATTTGGAAAACGGAGATCAGTGTTTTCCCCTGTTAAGCACTCTGAGATCTCCCAATGAAAGGTCCTATGGTATGTGCTAAATATTATTCCAGAGCTCTTCATTTTCTTTGAAAGTTGCACATCTTTGAATGTTTTAACTGTTATTTTTCTCACAGAGATGATTTAAGGGCAAATGCTTTAAAACAGTGGATCTCAACCAGGGCTATGTGTACCCTTGGGGGTACGTAGAGGTCTTCCAGGGGGTACATCAACTCATCTAGATATTTGCCTAGTTTTACAACAGGCTACATAAAAAGCACTAGTGAAGTCAGTACAAAATAAAATTTCATAGAGACGACCTCTTTAAACTGCTCTATGAACTGTACACTGAAATGTAAGTACACTATTTATATTTGAATTGGTTTTTTTTTATAATTATATGGTGAAAATGAGGAAGCAAGCAATTTTTCAATAATGGAGTGCTGTGACACTTTTGTATTTTTGTGTCTGATTTTGTAAGCAAGTAGTTTTGAAGTGAGGTGAAACTTGGGGGTATGCAAGACAAATCAAATTCCTGAAAGGGGTTCAGTAGCCTGGAATGGTTGAGAGCCACTGCTTTAAAAGTCACCATAGATGGGGTAAGTGAGAGTTAGAAAAGAACATAGAAAGACAAGAATAACTAAGGTGAGAATTGCACTCTTGCTATACATTTTTATGTTTGTTTTTACAATGCAAATATAAAATGGAGTGGTGATTTACTAGAACAGTCTTATTACTATACACTTTCACTGCAGGTTTCATAGAAGTTTGTATAAAAAAAGAGGTTAAATCTACAGAACAATCACCAGAGTTACACTCTTAGAATTTTAGAATTTGAATCTATGGCCAGGTATTATCTAGATCTGTTGTTAGTTGATATGAGTGCATTGCTGCAATTGGTATCAACAGATGTCTGAAGAATGAGGGAAGAAGATGCTCCTTATCTAAGGCAAGACAAGGAATAACAGTGGAACACTGCAGTGGTTTGATAAGAATCTACATACAGATATTTGTTCCCCAGCACCAGTTAGGACATATTGATCTGTTTACTTGGTAACTTTCATCTAATTTTGATCACTTCTCTCTGTCTCCCAACCCTTCTTTCTTTACTCTTGTCAAGGTGGGATCCACAAAGGCACTTAGGTGTTGCAACTCTCAGCATTGTAGCACCTAACTTGTAAGCTAGAAAATTACAGGAACAACACTGCCATTTACAAAGCTGAATCAGATGCCTAGAGTCCCCATGCAATCAATGAGAAGAGAGAGGGGGGGCATCTAAGAATGTGATCCACAAAAGCCAGCACACTAAGCGAGGAGCCCCCTAAGCTAGTCTATGGAAGATGCTAACCAGAAGGGTGTGTGCTAAGCCCCGCCCCACTCTTGGAGATGGGCACCTAGCTCTGATAAGTGAGCCACTAAAAGGAAAGTGCCACCTGAAGTCAGGCAGTTTAGGCACCTAGGGCTAAGGGAGGAGGCATGCCCACCTTATAACTTTTAGCCCAGTGGTAAAAACACTTGCCTGGGATGTGGGAGACCCAGGTTCAATTCTCCCCTCTCTGCAAGAGGGGAAGAAATGATTTGAACAGAGGTCTACCTCTAAGATGGGCGCTTTAACCACTGAGCTATGGGATAGTCTGATCTAGGGTTCCCCCAGTCTCTCCAGTTGAAGCTATTCCCATGTGAATAAATAATAAAAAGAGTGATTGGAGCAGGGGGACTGGACTGGCATCTCCTAACCCCACAACTGGGTGCCCTAACCACTGGACTA